AAATTCAGAGTTTCAAACAAATATGATGCGGACTACTTGAAGTTTGAATTTATTCAAGAACCTGGAAGTGTATATCATGTGTTCTGAGAGTTTTCCAATGATTTAGCTAAAATGCTAATTGAATACTTCCAAAGGATGCCTGAAAATTTGCAAAAATCAAAACTGTTTATTAGCAACAATGACTATTGAAGACAAATCCTTATTGAAATCTTCTTATTTCACAGCACGTCAAATTGCGAGATGTAAAAAGCCGTATGCGACTGGAGAAAAATTAATTAAGCCTTGCTTCTTACAAGCTTGTGGAGTGGTCTCGTGGAAACAAGCTGTTCAGAAACTGAATGGAATTCCGATGTCCGCTAACACTGTGAAGATATGGCCGAAGATACTGAAAATCATTTGATCGCACTTGTGATTAATTCTGCGTTTCATTCAACTCGACGAATCAACAGACATAACTTCAACGCAGTTCTTCTTTGTTTTGTAAGGCTTGATTGCCAAGGAGAATTAAAGGAAGAACTCTGTTCGTTAACCTTGCCTTGTAGAGCAACCGGCTCTAAAGTTTTCAATGCACGCAATGGTAATTTCGTGAAACAGTATTGAATGGAAGAGATGTGTGGGATATGCACAGGCGGTGCCACAAGCACGACTGGACATCGTTCAGGAGTTGTTGCAGAAATGAAGGACGTTGGGCACCCAGACATCTAGCTTACTGATTGTATTATACATTACGAGCAAATGGTGGCGAAAAGAATATCCCCAGAACTGCGCGAAGTACTCTGTGATGTAATTAAAGTTGTAAACAAAATTCGCCACAAAGCGCTCAGTTCTCTAATATTTGAGGCACTTCGTTAAGAAATGGGCTCTCAGCATACTCATATTCTTCATCTCGCTGAGGTGAGATGGCTGTCGAGGGGCAAAGTACTAACCCGGTTTTTCGATCTGCGCAAGAAGTCAAGCTGTTTTTCCGGCAGCTAAATAATTCGATGTTTCATGATCTTCTGTCCGAGAGTGATTGGCTAACGAAGCTTGCATACCTGGAAGATATTTTTCTCTGTTAAACGTGCTGAACACGTCTTTGCAACGACAATTTACGGACCTGTTCACAGTGAGGCAGTATGGATGCATTTCAGAAGAGTATATTTCTGTTGGAAACGCAGTTAGCCGAAGAAGATCTGCAGATGTCCCCAAATTTTGATGATTATGTAAAACAGGAAAATGTCAACTGAAAAGTACTAATTCTTGTTCGATTGCACTTATGTCGCTTACTGACTCTTTTGGTCGTCATTACCCATGGAAATATTTGGATAATAAATCCATTTTCTACGAAAATCGAGGATATTAATTTGAACATGAAAGAACAAGAAAGCTTAATTGATGTGTCATCCGATGACAGTCTCAAAGATAAATTTCACTCGTCCCTAACAAGGTCTCGTTTTTGGCTTTCCGCAAAAAGTGAGTACCGAGTGCTGAGTAAAAAGGCAATCAAAATTTTAATTCCATTCGCAACTACATATATGTATGAAAAAAACATTTTCATCAGTTACGGCGATTAAAAACAACTACCGCTGTAGGTTAGAAATACAAACGGCTGTCCGTGTTGCAGTAACGTCATTGGAGTCAAGTGCCTCAAATATTCGAGAAATTGAGCGCTTTGTGGCGAATTTTGTTTACAACTTTAATTACATCAGAGAGTACTTCGCGCAGTTCTGGGGATATTCTTTTCGCCACCATTTGCTCGTAATGTATAATACAATCAGTAAGCTAGATGTCTGGGTGCCCAACGTCCTTCATTTCTGCAACAACTCCTGAACGATGTCCAGTCGTGCTTGTGGCACCGCCTGTGCATATCCCACACATCTCTTCCATTCAATACTGTTTCACGAAATTACCATTGCGTGCATTGAAAACTTTAGAGCCGGTTGCTCTACAAGGCAAGGTTAACGAACAGAGTTCTTCCTTTAATTCTCCTTGGCGATCAAGCATCACAAAACAAAGAACTACCTTGTTTGTTATGTCTGTTGATTCGTCGAGTTGAATTCAATGAAAGGCAGAATTTTTCACAAGTGCGATCAAATGATTTTCAGAATCTTCTACCATAACTTCGATTCTGCGCTTCACAGTGTTAGCGGACATCGGAATTTCTTTCAGTTTCAGAACAGCTTGTTTCGCGGAATCCTCTTCACAAGCTTGTAACAAGCAAGGCTGAATTAATTCCTCTCTAATCGCGTGCGGCTTTTTACATCTCGCGGTTTGAAGTGCTATGGAATATGAAAATTTCAGTAGGAACTTATTTTCAACAATCGTTGTTTCTAATAAACTATTTTGATTTTTGCAAGTTTTCAAGCATCCTTTGGAAGTATTCAGTTGGCTTTTTAGCTAAATCTCGATGTTTTGACTTCAAACACCTGCCGAGTTTCGAAAGTTTCATGGCATCTTTCGATAAACTATCAGAACACATTATCCAAAGCAGTCGTGGATACAGTTCACTTCCAGGTTCTTGAATAAATTCAAACTTCAAGTAGTCCGCATCATATTTGTTTGAAACTCTGAATTT